AAACCCCAAAACCCCAAAACCCCAAAACCCCAAAACCCCAAAACCCCATAAGATTGTTATAGGTAAAATTGAGTCAAATTATTTATAATAATAGACATTTTACATAATGAGAATTACTACAAACCAAAGATAACTCGTTTTATTTGTTTTGGTTATTGCAATTGCAGCAGCATAAGCACATCAAATCGTGGAAGAATAACCCCGCCACTTAGTTACTAAGAAATCCTTGATACCTCACGGCCCTTTCTCATTTATTATAGATCTCTTAGTCCTAAACCTCTGGCTTCCAGTTGGTTACATTATCTGGCCTCTTGGAGCATTATTCACACTTTGTGGATTTCCTGATTTCTACTCAACAATGTATCACTTCGTTGTTGGAGGACCTTTCATTCTGTCAAATTATTATGATTTTAATGCTTGAATTGAATCTATATTTTGCTAACTCTTAATTCAAACCATATTAGTTTATTCTTTAAGAAAGATTAATTTAGTTAAAGTTTATATAAACAAATTCATATTTAGTTGTAAGAGTGTAATTATAAGGATCTCTACCGAAATCAAGAAGCATAGCCTGAAAGTCTGACCACTGGAAGGTAGAGAAATTTATAGATAGTTGCAACCCAGATCTCTTGGTTGTTCAAAAAGAATGAAGGGAGGATGAAGAATGGTGATAATACCATTACGATCAAGTACTCTAAAAGGATTCTAGGAATGTCCAGAAGCCAAGCAAAGTCATTTTCTCTCACTCTTAAATGGGTATTTACTCTCTCTTCTTTTGGTAACACTTCTAATTAGAATGCCTAACAGTACACAATAAGCAGAGCAATTAGCATTAGTTTTTTCATTTTAGTTTAATAATAATTATAAAATAAGGTTTTAATTTTAACTTTTCTATTCTGGTAGGTAACAGGATAATCTCAAATTGATAAAAGCAAAGCTTTACAATCACCAATTGAAAGGTTGCATTTTCACAGCAATGTTATTTCTTTTCTAATAGAGAGATACATTTAGAAGAAATTTAAGATGTTTGACTTACATTTAGAATCTATCTTTTTAAAATGTTTAGTTAAATTAAGGTATAAATTCTTGTTAAGATAATTTCATAACTTCAAAAGAATAGAACTTGCTTGGGAAAGTTTGAGTAGCACTAGTAGAATGCAACTCCTTCATCATTAAAGATGAAAGTAAAGAAAAAGGTCTCAATCAAGCACACATGGAATAGTCCTTGGAAAAGCAGTAGAGCTATTTAATTATTAATCCAGTCAGCACTTCCATGATAGGCTCCGTAAAATGGCATGAAAACTAAATCTATTACACCCTTGAAAGTCAAAGCTTAAGCTTATGCAATAAACAGAATTGCAAACAGCACTAGAATCAGAAGTGGTCTTGAAATCGAAGTATTTTTCATTTTATAACTAATAATAATTTTAGCTTCATTATAAATTCTGCTTTTAATTGAATAGTGGGGTTTTGGGGTTTTGGGGTTTTGGGGTTTTGGGG